CTGCCCCCCCACCCCCAACACCTCTCCACACATATACTGCCCCCCATCTCCTCCATACACAGACACTTGAACAGTTCCCAAGCCCTGGTCCTACAACTGCCAAGGGGAAAATCTGCAGTTTTCTCCTTTAAAGGGGGAAAACCTGTGTTTTGTCAGCGTTCTAGAGTAGGAGTTTCAAGCCATGGGTTGGATCTGAGGGTCTGGTAGCAGGGAGACTGAGGGCTATATTACACAGCCCTCACTTGTCCTTGTGCTGCCTCTGGCTATGTCCAGTGAAGCCCAGGGACCCTGAATTCTGTGGCAGGCCATGCCCGCAACTTCCAGTAGCCCAGCAGTGTGGCTTAGAGCAGTTACAGCATGCAGGCCAAATCCAGCCTGTGGATGTTTGACACCCTTGTGCTAGAGCTGACAAAATTTACATCAGCAAATAGGATGACAAACTTCAAATATATTAGGTGGGAAAGTAACTTAACCCAACATTTTCATGGAGTGTTTGTTTTTTATCATGTATATTCAGACTAGTGATTATAAGTTATATGCTATATATTATCCTTTCTCTGCTATTACAAACAAATCCTCATATGGAGGCAGCATGTCTTGATGGATAGAGCAGTGGACTAGAGTTTAGACCTGGTTCTTTTCCTCACTCTTCCATTGGGCTGTGCTGAGAGTCCTTAACCAAATTATTTCTTTTGTCTGAGCTTCAGTTTCCCTGTCTGTAAAGTGAGGATAATGGTACTGAAGTCTGTTGCAAAGTGCTGTAAGAACTGTGGATAAGAAGTGCTCTGTAAGAATGGAGCAGTGATTGAGACAGAATCAGTTGCATTTCAGTTAGCAAGCTTTTTTAATTTGTTAACTTGTTTAAACAGTTAAAAAAAAACAACAACAAAAAAACAACAAAAAAAAAACAAAAAAAAACAAAAAAAACTAAGACACTAAATTCCAGCTTTGAAGTTAGCAAATATTCTTAATCCCTTTCTTAGTGTGGAAAAATGCCACTTATGCTCAAGGTAAATCAGTAAAAATAAAGAATTATCCTGAAACTCCAAAATCCAAGATCCTGCAGGTGTCAATATGTCCATGCTCAATTATCATGGAAAATTTGACCTGGTGTGTACATTTGTAACACCTATTCTTATGAAGATTCAACAGTATTAATAGTACTGAACTCTAAATCCTATTGTGTGGGTGCTGCAGTAGTCTTATGACTTTAAACTACATGTGAAGTCAATCAGGACTTCCCCAGGGTCTGGATTGTCCCATTATAACATAGCCATATGACGTACGCATATGACATGAGCCATTGTCTGCTTGCTTCCAGAAATACCTGGTTTTGGAATGGTGAAATCCAGATATGAGCCTTTTTGGCAGAGCTCTGTGAAACTTACATAGTACATGCACTGCATGTGCCTGATTTTTAAATTAGTGTTAAGACATAATTTTTGTTTACCAGTTAACTGTTATGCTAATCTAGTATTTAATAGTACTTTTTGTTTTCTTTAGGTTATTTCTGATTTAGAAATCATGAACTGGCACTTCCTGCTCCTGTGTGCTGCTGTGACTCTAACATCTGTATGCTCCCAATTTAATTTTCCTCTTGAGGAACTTGGCTCTGACGTTGGAATCCAAGTTTTCAATCAAATAGTCAAGGCAAGGCCTCAGGAGAACATTGTGGTCTCTCCACATGGGATTGCATCAGTCCTGGGGGTGCTTCAGCTGGGTGCTGATGGCAAGACAAAGAAGCAGCTAACAACTGTGATGAGATACAGCCTAAATGGTCAGTTCCTCTCTCTTACTGCACACACTTTTTCTATTGTAGTGATTCACATTTTTTTTTCTTGTTTTAAAGTTTGAAACATGGGAAGAATTTTTGCATCATGTTAGCTTGGATGGCAAACCAGTCATAGTAAAGAGAGAAAGGTCTGCCATAAGAAAAGGCCATGATGGGAGAAACACTTGGTGACCTCAACATAGTTCATATCGACTAGATGTTCACAATATGCAGTGAGCCCTAGTAAGTTCCTTGTTTGCAGCTTCAGCAGTGGAGTCAAGGTCTGAATCAGAAATTTCTGTTCTCTGATGCCTTGCAAATGGTTTCTCCAGAACAGAATTGCAGTCTGTTCCCAACATATAGTGTTTGAAACGTAGCTTCCCTCCATCTATACTGTACCAAACAACCCTTAATCCATGTTTCTGAAATTGTTGGGCAATAGAATACTTGAACTGAGCCAACGGAATCAGATGGATCTCTGCTTCTTGTTCAGATCTAGTGCTGTAGCCATTCTGCTTTGTGTGCAGCAAGGCTGCATGGGACTATTGGACTACTCAGCCTTCTCAAGAGCAGGGCCATACACCTTATTAGGCCCTTCAGGCTAGATCTAGGCTGCAGTGCTTCTCATGGGCTGATTGACCTGCCTCCAGTGGCAAGGTGCTTGTAACTGCAAGCAGTGGAGCTACTTCATTGACATGGCTCCTGAACATAGGTGGTGGATGCTGCCACCATTCACTCCCTTCCCTTTTCCCTTGCTGCTAACTTGGGTCACACTGGAGAACCTAAATTTGGTAGCAGGCAAGATTTTTTTTGGCGGGGAAGGGGATGAGCACTGGCAGCTGCTTTCACTGGGTGGGTTTCAGAGCTGCGCCAGTGCAGTGGCTCCAGCAGCCATACCACAGAGCCCCATGAGCTGCAGTTTAACCACTTGTGGGTTGCATGCTACCTACAAGCTTCCAGTTAGGCAGCCCTGCTCCAGAGGGTAGGGTGAAAGGTACTTGCCATTTTTGTGAGCGTGCTGAGCTTCTTTCAAGTCTTAGCAAGGTATAACAATGTATTAGTGCTACTGATCCACCCAGGAGCTTTTATCCTACAATGTGAAACCAACTAAAAGGTGAGTGCATTTTCAAACCTGTGAAGTATGAGAGATTTCCTGGACTTCAGTGTTTTGTCTTTTTACTTGTTTTTGTTTTGATTTGGTATTTTAGAATACACCTAGATGTTGCTTATAAAAATCCAAATATTAAATGTTTTAAAACCTCTTATGGGGTGGCACTGAATATAAAGGTATTTGGGTGTTCTAAATATAAATATGTACAAGAAGTTTGGAAGTACTAAAACTACCTGGATTTATTTGGCTGAATATCTTGTGATAAAAATTTTAGCTATGAAATGGAGGCTCTCAAACTTTTATTTTGCATGGGCTTTTTACCTTTTAAGAAGGGAGGTCTGATGGACCACAGCCTTCTTACACTTGCACAGACCTTCTTTGCTGCTGTTAACAATTGTGTAACAATTCTATGGCAACTACAACAATTGCTTATTCAAAAAGATAATGCTAGGAAAGTATTTTAATATATTTTAGCTGTCTTTTAATGCACTTTAGCAGTTGAAAGCAAGGAGGAGAGCCAGCGCCATGTGACCAGCCAGCTCTCCCCAGACATCCAGCAGCAAGTGCTTCCTGGACCACCAGTGGTCCACAGACTACTGTTTGAGAACCTTTGTTATGGTATGTCACCAAAAGAACATGCTCATAATACTGAAGACAGTGAACACAACTTGTGAACTACAAGTAAAGCATTCACAGCAGTACATATAGTAGGTTCATTGTATGGGACTTTATCTTGTATTCAGCTGAGAATCTTTAAAAGCCTTTTTCCATTTACATCTTCTTCTATATTTTAAGGCAGGTGACTATCTTGGAATGGCTATTGCATAATGGCTGTTCTACATTAAGTCTCCATGTGGAACTCCTTTATTCTGTGTGGAATGTCTGTAGAGTGTGAAATAACTATTATGTTCTTAGTAGGGTGACCATATTTCCCGTTTTAACTGGGAGAGTCCCAGGCTTCAGAAGCTGATCCCAGCTGGCTGTTGCGAATTATAATGGGCATCCTGGTAATGCAGGAATGTGAGAGGCGCTGCCCCCACAAAGTTGAGTGGAGGAGAGGCAGGATGGGACAGTGTCCTGATTGGGTCCCAGATTTCTGGGATTTCCTTATGGTCAGCGTAGCTCTAAGTTCATACACTAGGTTACTAGGAATTAACGTCCCAGTGCAGATAAGCCCTGATTTACAAGCAGTGATGCCTCTTTTACTATAGCAGTTCTCCTGTGATGTTGTGTAGATATTTTGGTGTGCAGGTAAACAGCCAGTGCATAGTCAGAACACTTTCTTTGGGAGGCCACTTTTTCATACCCTAAAGACTATTATGGAGGAAATGAACAATTTAATATGGCTGATAATCAAGCATAGGACTCTGACATCTAATTTTTAGGCAGGTATTCAGATTTAATTTTTGGTTCTGCAAACTTTTCTACATATTTTAAAATTACTTCTTTATGTCCCAGCCCATTCCTTGTGAAATAAAACAAGGGGTCAAAAATGACAACTGTAGTTTTGCAGATTTCAGTTTTAGAGCTCTGCCATGTATTCTGGATCTTAGAACCTTCTTTCTTCCCTGTGTCAGTGATCCTTCATTTCAAGTGACCCAGTGGAACACCACTTTTTGCAGCAGTCATAAGTAAAGGGGGAATTGCCTTTGGCCCACCATCCTAATAATGTAACGTCATCAAGATAAGTTGCTGTTCTGCAGGTTAGTCAATGTAGGTAGGTGGGGATTTCCTGAAATTTATTTTCTGACTCTCCAGTCTGCTTGAAAGTAGCTTGTATATATAGTTTGTTCCACCTGCAGAAGAAGGCATACAGAATGTAACAGTATTTTTCATGCTAGAAAGTCCTTGCCTACTGTACTAGTCCAGGACTTGAATTCATCCCTGATGTTTACCTTAACATGCTGCTCAAGGATTAGGTAGGGGAACAAATTATTCACTAAAGAGTAGTGTATTTCAGATGAGATGTCAGAGATCCTGTTATCCAGATGGGTGTTCAAGAATGTCTGTCAGAGGGGATAATGTGTGCCTTGGCCTTCTTTCTCTATTCTAACACTCTTAATGTCTGATTCTGCATGTCAGTAACTGCTTATACAAGTTATCTTTGTTTAACATTTATTTTCATCTTCTAAATTAAGCTTACTTTTATTTTCAACTAGGAGTTGGAAAAGCTTTAAAGAAGATAAACAAGCTCATAGTCTCAAAGAAGAATAAAGACATTGTGACAATTGCTAATGCAGTATTTGCGAAGAGCGGCTTTAAAATGGAAGTGCCTTTTGTTACAAGAAACAAAGAAGTGTTTCAGTGCAATGTCAAGAGTGTGGACTTTGAGGACCCCAATGTGGCATGTGATTCCATTAACCAGTGGGTTAAAAATGAAACAAGGGGTAAGTATTGTCGAGTGTGTTTTTATGTGTGACAACCTAAAGCATACTTGAAAGAATGGTAAAAAAAAAAAAAAAGTGGGAACAAAATACTGCTTGCCTTCTAAAAAAGCTAGAAGGTACAACAAGCTGAATAGCAGGATTCCTGTTTCGTAGAGGTTGTTGCTTTTTTTCAGTCTAGTCTCAGACTACAGTACCTTAGGGCTAGAACCCTGCAGGGAGCTCCAATCCATCTGCTCTCCCCCTCCACAGCAGTCTGGGTAAACCCCAGACCGGAGATCCCTCCCATTCTCCATTCCCCTTCTGATCCTAAAGGCAGTACTGGTAGTGGGGCTTGACTGCATCAGCCCAGCCCTGCTCCCGCTCGTGGACAAGCAGAAGTTAACAAAGGCACTGCTTTTGGAGCGCCTTCATCTGAACCCTCATTAAAATGATGATTAGCTTGTTACACAATCGGGCACTTTTAAAGCACTCTGCAGCTGTGCACTTCTGTCAGGGCACAGCTGTAGAGCACTTTCAAGGGGCCAAGCAAAAAGTCCTTCTGTCGGTGCCCCAGGACTCAAATGTTCTAGGGCTTGCTGCCCTGAGGCAGTGCTCGAGTAATCAAGACAGGGCTCCATCAAAAACCGTGCCTTGGATTTGGGGAAAGTTCATGATCCTAAGATGTTTCATTTGAAACGCTTTTGGGTCAGTTAATTTTTTTTTCAACAAAACAGTTTTGTCCGATATTTTTCTGATAAGCCCTAGTGCAAGGGCTACATTAATCTGGCTGTTCCTCGCTAGCTAACTAATTTCTTGGTATCCATTGCTAAATGTCCTGTATAGTTATCCACTCTCTCTATCCCCCTTCCGCTGGTGATTTTTTCCTTTATTTTTCATTTCTAGCCTTTTTTAAAGGTTATGGTCAGTGGATCACGCCCCAGTCAATCTTAACTGTGCAATACCAACCTTAACTTTGCCAGAAAGCTAATTTAATAAGGTGGTGCATCTGCACACATGCTAATGCATAAGTCCTTATCTAGGTGCATATCTTAGTAGATGAATACAAAGGTGTTGCCCTCTAGCCCAGAATAAGGGTCTGATTGGAGAATAATAGTCTCCACTTGTAGTAGCTGAAATAATTTTATATTTCAGATGACCCTGAAATAAACAGAGTGCTACCTAGTAAAGAGCAAAGCAAGTTTTACTATTTTGGTCTCTTACTGGAAAAGAAATGTTTAACTTCTCCCCTTTCTTCTTGAATTTTTTTTCTAGGTATGATTGATAAGATATTATCTCCAGATGATATCGATGCTGCTTTGACCAGACTTGTACTGGTAAATGCAGTATACTTTAAAGGTTTATGGAAATCACGTTTTCGACCTGAAAATACAAGGAAACGGCCATTTTATGGAGCTGATGGGAAGACTTACCAAGTACCTATGCTATCCCAGTTGTCTGTTTTCCGCTGTGGTAAGCCCTGAATTTGTGTGTGCATACGTGCACACTTAGATTCTTTCAGCTCCTTTGTCTAGGTTTTAAGTATTGTGGCTATAGGATTTTTTTTTGTGTGTCTAGATCTTCTGTTTCAGGCTGCTGCATTTTAGGGAGATTGATATTTTTTCCCCATCTTTGGCAACTTTGAAAATTAGGTAACTTTATTTAGATGCTGTGCTTCAGATGTCCAAGTTCAAAATATTTGGGGCGATCACTTGTGTGTCCTAGTTCTCTGGTCAAATAAATAATTTGAAACACATTATGATAAGAGATGGTTTTAAATAGTCAATGCAAGTTAAAATACAGCTCTTTATTTGGCAGCAGAAGTAATTGAGCCTATCCAAAGTATGCTTAATTTTTTTTCTAGATTCTGTGGTAGAAGAGCATTAGAAATGGTTATTGTCTGCAGAACCATGGGAACGTGAACTGAAGTTTAGGCCTTGTACAGATCTTATGTTTTTCACCAAGAGAATTGCCACTTTCCTGGTAGAAACCAAGAGGTTAAGTGATCATACATTTTCTCCTGTGGGAAATGTAAAAGGTCTGGAAGGTCTCCCATGTGAGTGTCTCTCGCAAAGATGAACACCAGTCTGGTCAGGGAAGGGAGTGCAGTAGCTGCTTGCTGCTGCCCACCTCTTTCCCAGACTAGGAAACTACCACCTGAGTGGGATGGATGGTGATTTCAGAGCCAAGCTGGGCTTGGAGAGAGCCTCCCTGCACACTGTAGGGCTGGGAACTGGGACCAAAGAGGATCTCTCTGTCTTAATTTTTGGTTCCAGGGGCTTTAAATGCTGTGCGCACCACCAAGCTGGGTGATGCACAAAGTGATTTTTTTTGAAAGCTAGAGGAGCTGGTGGCACATTTTTTTTAAAAGCCAGTGAAACTCTCTCACTGGTCCCATTTACCATGCTTCTGGCTTTAAATCACCCCATTTGCAGTGCAGCCCATCTGAGTTATGCACACGGTGATTTTTTTTTTTCTTTTTTTTTCTAAAAGCCATGGGCTGCCTATTAACAACTTGTCCCCTTCCTAGGCAGGGGAGAAGGCAAGTTGTCATTGTTCTCCCCTAAGGGGCCCAGGGAGAAGCCCCCTAGTGCTTCCTGGCTCAAGAGCTCACCTGTGCTAAAGTGAATGCGTATCTGTGGCCTTTATACTCTAGTTGTCTCCCAAGGTAAAACTTCATTTAAATTTTAAATTTGGTCACAACTATAAAGGAATTAAATGAGTTCAGCCTGCTTGTCACTTGCATATCAAATTCCATGTCAGATTTGTGATGCATGATTGGCAGTTTCAGCTCAGCTCTAGACCCACAAGGGTTTTGCTAGTCAGGCTTAAGGTACAATGGCAGTATTTTTGTAAGAAATTGCATAATACTTGACTCTGCTCTCCCAAGAGCAAGCCATTGCTTTTTGTAATTTGCTTGTATATGCACTGAAGACTTTTTGACAGGGATCAATTTAGCACCATTTCTGAAAAAAGTTACTAGAAAACACTGTCATTAGATGATCACCAGTAGAGATTTCTGGGGCCGATACTGATATCTGATTTTTAAGGAGGCGTGTCGGCCGATACCAATCCAATTTCTGATGCAGCATGGAGAGCTGCCTGCAGCTGGTAAGTCCATTGTGGTGGAAGTGGAGAGGGGAGGGGAGGGAAGGGAAGGGGTGTGGAGGAGCAGATCAATGCCTGTGGTGAGGGAGAGGGCAGGGGCAGGCACTGCCCAGCCGAGGCTGGGCTCATCAGGGATGTGGGGGGTGGCTCCCACCGCTGCTTGCACCCCAGCAGGGCATGGCGTTGGTGGGTATGTGCCCCTGGATCTGTGCAGGGTGAGGCAGGCAGCTGCGGGCTGGAGGTGGGGCTGCGCCAGGCTCTTCTTGCTGGGGACTGGGCTCAGGGCAGGGGCTATGGATGGGGCTGCAGCTTGCCCCTGCTCCTGCCCCCTCCTTCACTGTGGGGGGGGGTTAATCTACCCCCCATGACTCCCCTCCTGTTCCACCACAATGGACTTACCAACTGGAGGCAGCTCTCCACACTGCCGGGCTCTGCTCCTCGCTGTCTGAGTGCTGTGCTGTGGCTGAGCGCACACACTGGCACTTATTGGCCAAATTATCAGCCGCATCAGGGCAACTTCTGATGCAGCCAATTTTCTTTATACTGACTGATCTGATATAAGACCGATTATATCAGTGTACCTCTAACTGTCATATATCCAAGAGGGCAAGCATATACATTTTATTGCTAGCACTTTTTTCTGGCTTAAATGTGCTTGCTTTGCCTAAAGCGGGGTTTAACAAATAAACTGTTCTTACGTGTTTTTTTTTTTTAAAGAATTTTCTGTCTCTAGAATTTGTTCCCAAATTTTTAAAAAACTTAAACTGTTTGCTTTCAGGTATTGAGGAACAAAACAATCTGCCTTAATGAAAGAGCTGTACTTAAATATTTATCTCTACACATCACTAAAAGGTTACATAAGAGAATATTTTAGCAAGACTTGTCTATAGTAAATTACCTAAAAATATAAGCCCTGGTTCTGATCTTGCTGATGCTGCAATAAATGGAAAGTAACTCCTTTATTACATAGCAGCCACAATCCTAATTCAGTTATTCATGTCGCTGAATGCAAACTCCTATTTCAAATTAAAGATTTTGGTATAGGCTCTTTAGAAAGTTCTTTTTTAGACGACCAAAAAAAGTGCCTTGGGAATAAAGCACTGGACTACTCCTTTGCTGTTTGTAATTTTGAAAATTACTTTCCCTTCCATGTGTTGCCTTGGCAACTGAAGTAATAATTTGCATGGAAAAAGTGTTAGTAAACTTGTGATGCATTACTGCCTAATGCAAGGGCCAAGGACCAATATGCAGGTCATGAGTCTGATCCAGCATGGAGTAGTGTCAGCTGGTCCATGGGGCTCCCTATGGGTCCAGGTATTTGGTGATCAGGGAGTAGTGGCAGCGTTATGGAGCCTGTATGCTGGATCATGTCTGTAGACTGATCCCATGACTGAATCAAGTCCATGGGGCTAGATGTGTTTAGCACCCCTACATAAGACCAGTGGTGTGCAACTCATCCAGGCCCCTGGATTGGATGAAGGTCATTCGGTTGGTCTGCAGAAACCACAGGGGGGTTAGTCCAGGGCTCTGCATATAGCCTGTACCATTTGTAGTCCTGAGTCCAGCCAGTGTGCCATGGGCAGTGCATGTCCACTGCTGGCCCCACATGCACAGTGATCCCTGGGGCCAGCACATGCTACATGTCACATGGGGCTGGATTGGTTGCACATCCTGTGTACAGGACGGTGCCAGTACAAAGCACATGCTGCATGTAGAGCCCTGTCAGACTGGTTTTCATACTAGCTCTGTCTTGGCCTGATCTGGACCAGAGCCAATGTACAGGGCTGGTTGGGGGTGAGGGGGTGCTATATGGTGCATCCTGAACTAATCCTTTGTGCTGCATGCTGAGTGCACAGTGCTGTGTCCAGCCCATGTGTCACATACAGCATATGGTTCATGGACCACAGTTTCAACTATTAACATAAAGGAGAATTAAGATATCAAAGCAAACTTTATTTTGTCTTGATTTGTCTTGATTTACACAACACGCTGTATTTATTTGATTCTGAGATAAGGATTTCTGCCCCTTCACACATACACTTATTTAACATAGGA